TAAGGCAGGACTAGAACTCACCGTCTCCTGGTGATTGGCCCAAAGTCACCCAGATGGCTTTCACGGCTAAGGCAGGACTAGAACTCACCGTCTCCTGGTGATTGGCCCAAAGTCACCCAGATGGGTTTCACGGCTAAGGCAGGACTAGAACTCACCGTCTCCTGGTGATTGGCCCAAAGTCACCCAGATGGGTTTCACGGCTAAGGCAGGACTAGAACTCACCGTCTCCTGGTGATTGGCCCAAAGTCACCCAGATGGGTTTCACGGCTAAGGCAGGACTAGAACTCACCGTCTCCTGGTGATTGGGCCAAAGTCACCCAGATGGCTTTCATGGCTAAGGCAGGACTAGAACTCACCCTCTCCCAGGTTAGAGATACTCTCTTAGTATGTCTACTCAATCAGACGTCAAGAGGATGGGCCCCCTGAAGCAAACCTCAATGGCGGTCCTGATCTTAGGGAACCGCTTACACCACGAGGTGCTTTTAGCCCCCATAGAACTGGTTTTCATAAACTCATGGAAATGATCCTGTTTTAAATAGGCAGCTACTGGAGCAGTTGGACTTTTTCTTTTTCCTTTTTTGCATTGCAGATTTTTAAATTTCGACTGTCAAGTTTTAAATAAACTGGAAGGTGGGTTTTATTGAGAGGATGCTTTCCTCTTTTACCAAGGCAATTTACATATTTCTGGCAAACACATTTTTACGTATCTCTTTTCGCCTTTTTTTGGCCCACTATCTTTACCATTACTTGCTCCTGGTTTATTTTTTTTACTGTTTTCTTATTTGAACATCCTAAAATATTTTTTTTATCATCATCATTCCCTAGAGGTGAATCTTCAGGTTTCTGTTTAAATGCTTTTCTGAAACTTTTTTTTAATGCTAGCGTGTCAAATTACCATGTTTGGGAGAACTGCTAAACTGTTGAGAAGATTACAAACAAGTTTTAAATCGCCTCCTGCTTGAAATAAAAATTATAACACGTGTTTTCAAAAAGTTTATGTTAATTAAAAGAAATATTACCTCCCCTGACATGTCCGGTGCCATCGGAATGACTGGCCACAAAGAAGAATAGACGCCAAAAAATACTATCCAGAGCACAATGCTGCCCCATATAGCTATATGACTAAACTGGAAAAGAAAGAAAGAAAGAAACTCAGTTAGTAAATGAATATTTTTAAGACTGTATCTCAATAACTCCCCCCAAATCCACCAGTAATTAAAAGTGTCTGTACGTTGCCTAAATAGAAATGAACTGCTATCATTTATTGCGTTGTAATATTTTAAAGATATCTTACCAAAGTCCAATATGAAGTCTCCAATCCAGCTTTTAAGCACACAGTTATGACCACAAACTAAAAAAGAAAAGAAAAGAGGAGAGATGTTACTTTTCCTGACCAGGTTAACGTTTAACTCAGATTGAAATACGTGATTTTGTAATCAAGGAAATGTTTAACCTTCTAACATCTGTACATACATAATTTGAGAAACTTGTTATCTTGCTTCTGCATTCAGATAAGGGTTGAGTGCCCGCAAGTTACTTATATTCTGGAGCTTAGGAGTGAGTGAGTGTGCATCTCTGTGTGAGTGCATTTTGCAAAGGATTGACTGAGGAAAACACACAAACTCAACGCAGGAATTGTCCATATGTCCTCTGGGGCACAACACCAAGAGACTTTGCTTATATGAAGACATTAATGGAAAAACAAAACGATGATTATCCCAAGTCTGAAAGTAGATGATCAACAGAGGATTGCTTTTATATAAAAATGACACCAGGTGACTTGGCCTTTGGTTGTAGCTAGCAAAAGCAATCGCACTTAGACTTATATACCGCTTCATAGTGCTTTACAGCAATGTCCCCCAGCCTCTTGGGCACCACGGGACAGGGGTGTGTGGTTTCACACGTTACCTAGCCCCACACATGGTGCAGATGAAGCTTTGCAACTCAGTTCCTAACGGGCCACGGAGTGGTACTGGTCCACAGCCTGAGGGTTGGGGACCCCTGTTTTACAGTCCCTCTCTAAGCAGTTTACAGAGTCATCCTATTGCCCCCCTCAACAATCTGGATCCTCATTTTACCAACCTCAAAAGGATGGAAGACTGAGTCAGTTTTGAGGATCAAACTCCTGGCAGTGGGCAGAATTAGCTTGCAATGCTGCGTTCTAACCACTGCACCACCAGGGCTCTTAAGTGACCTCCAAGGTCCCTTCCAACTTTATTATTATTATTATTATTATTATGGATCATCGCACAGTCAGCCAGATGTTCAGACTGGATTTGGCATTTTGTCTACCTATCGAGTCCTTACCAAGGACCTGGGATAGGCAGATGTGGATGTTTGATGGTATTACAGATATTGTCGCAGGATGGAAGCAGTTCCTAGTAAGGCCGCCTTTTGCAATTGACTAATAGCGAATTTGTCAATTATTACTACTACTACTACTACTACTACTACTACTACTACTACTACTACTACTCAGTGAGGTCACTGCAGCATACAGTGCTCCTTTCGGTTTAAGATATCAGCTGGATTGATATGAGGAGAACTTACCGTATATACGGCATTTCCCAAAAGCAAGTAGTCCGAAGTTCTACCGCTGGCAAACACAGTATCTGTAAAATAATAACATTGCCAACACTAACTAAGAGATTAGGTGTCATGGTTCCGTCAGATGAAACTCTTCAAAAGAACTTCAAGGCATTGTTTAC